CTTATTCTACTATCAACAAATAAACTGACGTTATTTGTCGTCATTTTAATGTATTTTTAGCGTCTTTAATATCAAAATAACATTAAAATAACGATAAATAATATAAATTTGTTTGTTGGAATATTTTGCGAAGAAATGAGGAAATGAGGAAAAATAGATATGTAATATACATTCAGAAGTGCCAAAGATTGCCATTAATGGCATTAGTAATAGATTGTGACATGGCTATAACCCGCAAATCTTTTGACATTTCTGAAGAAAATACGTGTGAAAGCACATTATGCATTATATTTATGAATCTTACTTGAACAAGTAGCATTTCACCGACGTAACAATAAATATACAAGTGAACTAGAATAAATCCTACGAAAATACTTAGAAAAATCAATTGGAAGGTCATCGATTCGTTTTCTTCTTTCTTTATTAATATCTAAAATATTCCTGATTTTTATTACACACATTTTTATATTTTCTGAATTAATTGGAAGGATTTATGCGCAGCAACGTGACACAAACAAATGTAATATTAATGAAATGTTAATATTACATTTTTAATTGATTAGAACGGAAATAAATGCGTAAATAATATCTGATAAAATGCTGTTTTCCATGCTACTCACCCTAATAACTTGGAACCCTTGAAAGCATAATTGAATAGTACAGGAAAGCATCTGTATTAGCATTATTATGTTAAAAGAATCCTCAATTGTTTTTGCAAACCTTGACAAATATGATTTTTATTTTTATCGATTTATATTGAATTATGACATTCTAAGTACATAGAATTTTGCAAATTACATTTGCATAAACAATTTCATGTTAAGTAGATCATTTTACGTTAGACAAAATATTATAAGCCTTTTTTACTAAATGTTCTTTATTCGGTGACATGGCACGATGACATGGCAGATAATTATTTTTCAAGTTGAATTTAATTGAATTTAATTGAATTTAATTGATTTTAATAAATTAAACTTTGAAATTTATTATATGTATTTTATATAATTTCGTAAACAGAGAAAAATATTTGAAAATAAATTTATTAAAACTTTAAATAATTTTGAAATTATTAAAGTAGTCAAATGAAATATATCGGATGAAAAATTTAGACAATGAAATCAGCTAACATGTTATTGTGACTGGCACTTCTTCCATCGTGAAACCAGACGGATGCCGTGTTTATAAAACTCTTGAGCTGGAATCATATCTATTATATTCGCAAACAGTCTCCTGCACTGTTGCGCCCGACGAAAATTTCCTGCTTTTCAGATTCTTCGAGTTTCCAAAGATGTGGAAATCGCATGGCGATAAGTTCGGGTTGTACCGGGTGCTCCAGTATTTCTCACTGTGGGAACTGTGGACGCTATGCGATTTCCACATCTTTGGAGACCTGTATCCCGAGTCTGTAATTTTTAACGACAGTGTCAGTCCTTATATTGTCGTTGCGCAGATATTATACCTGATGAAAAAGCTGTGCAACGACAACATAATGATACCGAACCGTCATTAGAAGTTCCAGAATTGAGTACTGATAGAGAATCTGAAAGGAAGAAATTTCTGTTAGACGCAGCATGGCACGAAACTGTTGTGAGGGGGTTCGATCATATATGCTCAAGGAATTTTATAAACAGGCCTCGTCTGGTTTCACCTAGAAGTAGTTTTGCCAACTATGAGAATTGTTAAGATATTAGAATTATTAAGATATTAGTTCATTTCGATATCTGAATTTTTTATTCGCCACATTTCATTTGACTGCCCTAATAATTTTAACATTAAACAATTATCTATTGCAGATATAAAAAAATGTATTTTTATTCGTGAACTTATTTCATACGAGGCAATCTTGTGTTCAGAAGCAAAAAATGTATAAAAGTTTTTTATTTCCATGAATTATACAAACCAGTTTAAATGTTCATGTCTCATTACAATTTGTCTCAGTTCACTCTTGAACTCTTGAGACGTTTTTATTCCATTCGGATCATTAACGAGATTTTTGAGTCTCTCACGCAAGTTTTCGAATTGACCGCAAACATGGATCACTAGCATGGAAATGAAACTGTCGCTACCGGTATAAGCAACTGTTCCACTAAAAGCAGATAAAATTTGGCATGCACAAATCAATTCAAAAATCGGACTTTTGGTAGCGTCGAAAGGAAAATAGGCCGTATAAATCATGGGACGAGCCAAGTCATCAGGTGAAAATATAATCGCCGAAATCTTTAGAACGATATAAATGATTAGCAAGGTCTGAGTTAGTATTGTGCACCATATGGATATCTTTCTCACAAGTTTGGCATTTTTCAGCATAATTGTTCTTTCTTCAGACGTTTTTGGTGTATACCAATCTTGATAGAAGAAGTTGACCAACAGCTTCAAAACTTTAAACAAATATTGTCTTATTTTGAATTTTTGAATGAAAATTTATGTAAGTCAGTCTAATTTTATTTCACTAGATATTTCGCTGACAATTTGGCATTTTGCTGAATTATATCTTTATTGGACATAATCATATAAAATGCCGAAACGAAATTGCTGTACAAAATGATTGCAAAATAATTAAAAATATAGATAATAGCTAAATAATAATAAATGATTTGTTACTGCCATTATGTCGCTGTTTCGTAAACATAAATTAGATGTAATTGTTAAGTAGCTGACTAGTATTCATAAAAATTAAAGCTTCTCTCTCTCTCTCTCTCTCAAAATGTTAAATTTATAAGAGATAATTCTATTATTCAAAAAGTTTTAATTTTTTTGCTATTTCTAACGTTCTTTGTGCTTTGTACCTTTCCTTTTACGCCAGATGGTGAATGCTTTCATGAAAGAATTCGCGACTGGAATATTAGCGGTCGCCAGATTTTCGGTCATCATATCCACGTTACCCCAAATGAATACTAAATTCGTCGATTGTGGTATACACACAAAGCCCAGCATGAAGAAACTGGCTAGTATAAAGCGACATCGAGAGAGTCCGCTCTTTTGTTTAGGATTTTGTAACGGATCAGGCCAGATGCCAACAAGGCTCAAATTGAATCGATTCCATCCGATCGCGAAATTCAAGTCTATGCAGATCGAATTTTGCTTCAAAAATTAACGAATGAAGAAATTCGATCATTATTTGATATCACTATTATATTATGCTAAAATTACATTGGCGCAAAAAAACATTTATAATATAATTCGATGTCATTTATAATATAATTTTGCTTCCAAAGTATACAATTACGAAAAAGGATACATTCCAAGCAGAACAGTCTACTGAACATAAAATCTACAACATGACATTGAAATGGTTCTGAGATAATTATTAAAAGTCATTTTTCGATCAGTTATTTTTCGATTCATCTTCAACATCAAAATGATGTTATCGCAATCTGTTGTTCTAGTTGGAATATTTCTTAATTATTTTAAACACTCAGCGATTAGCAGCGCACCATATTTCACAAATATATGTGTAACAAGTTTTTTAAACGACTTTGCATTCTCTTCTCTAACTCTTGTGAGATTTAGATAGGAATATCTCTAGATAACAATTTTATTATCTACTTTTCACGTGAGCACATGAGCATCTCTATTCGTGCATACCTCGATCAGCATCCATCGATACTTATACGGATGTCAACGATGCAACGACTGAAACATTTTTACGATCGACTTTTTTCCATCCCTTCCCTAAAGATCACGCATGCTCCGATGTAGAAAGTAATCTACCCTCCACAAAAGACCCTAAAGTCAAGCCAGAGTAAGTTGCTACTTCGTATTGAACACTTAGCGATACTTCCGAATATATATACATATATATGTATAATTACACATAGAGAAAAGGTATGTATGTGTATGTATGTATAATTACATATAGAGAAAAAACAATATATGTATTTTTCTATACTCTACGTATAGAATACATCTATGTATAGATACATCATATGTCTTACTATTCCAATCATTTCTTATGAAAAGATCCCGAATGTTCCAATTGTCAATGAAGAATCATAGATCAATGTACGATGAACATTAAGTCTTTCGCTTTTTTCGATGATAGATCATAATTCATATACGTCATATTGGTGCTTTAAAAATTGTAATTTTTCGTATGGGTTGCATTAACATATATTGTTGTTTTATCTCTGCTATTTTCGATATCATATTATTCTTGACGCATGAATTATTATAGATATAAGGTAATTGGGCTACACACACACACACACACACACACACACACACACACACATTTATCTTCCTTTTTTCTGAAGAAGTATTCATTTGTTAATAAAAGACATATCAGAATAAAAGATATACGAAAAATTTTGTATACTTGGTACGTCCAATATACTCTAAACCTTTTGATGATTAGAGCAAAAATCATAGACGTCAAGATACTAACTCGTATAACTTTTCTTTTAAAGCGAAAACATAAAAAGTGAAAAATGTTTCCGTTAACTTTGAATAACAAAAATTTTCACTTTTTACATTTTTGCCTCAAGGAGAAAATTATATAACCGATATCCCGATCGATACTCTGATGAATATCGAAGATATTGATACGAAAGTGATGACGAATGTCTCAGTTTAGTGTTTTTTAGTATTGCATGTTTTTCTATTTTTGCCATCTAATATTTGAAGTAACAAAAAAAAATATAATTTTTTAAATACATTTTTGTTTATCTTGTTTTATATTTACAAGCGCGTGAAATAATTGAATGAATTACTGTGAGCGATAATTGATTTCGTTAATTAAAATGTTAAACATTGTATCATATCAGTTTGATAAGGATCAATAATATCTACTTATTTAATAGTTTCGTAATCAGCTTTTTAAAATTCTTGATTTGTTTAAGTCTTATTTTAAAATCTAAAAAAACTTCTGTCCATTTTAAACACACTTATAAAATATGTTGCAGACAATTTGTTGCATATTAAAAATAGAAGCTAAATATTGTATTCTTAGTGTCGTCTTGATTCTTTTATTTAAAGATAATAGTACAACTGTACAACAATTATTATCATAATTATAGCAAATTTAGTTATGAATTATTCTTTCCGTTCGGTTACCGTAAGCAATACTGAGAGATAACCGAGTGAAGTTCTCACAATCTGAAATAAAATAACATTTAACAGAAAGTTCAACATACTTACATTATATTCATGCAATAACTAATCCATAGAATCAATGAATCAATCACTCTATTGATTAATAAATCAATCAGTTCAATGATTGCTCAATTAATCCTTTGTTTGTAATCGATAATATCAAGAAAATATCGTGATTGATTTATGAATGAATGGGTGAATCGATTGATCGATTGATTGATTGATTGATTGATTTATCATAAATTGATTCATTTATTGATTAATTCATAAATTGATTCATTGACTTATAAATTAATAGATTTATTAATTGATTAATTCATCAATCAATTAATAAATCTATTAATTTATGAATTAATCACAAATCGTTTTTCTACGATTGCAGATGACATATTGAATAAAATAACTCACGGTGTAATTATTTATACAATACTTTTACCTTACTGAACATCTGTAAAGAAAATGTGCTGAATTTCCCAGCAGTTAAACAAAGAGGTGCTGTTGATCTATGTATGATAAATAGAAGATTTCTGGCTTCCTTTCCTGGCACATTAAACCAGTTCGATTCGTACGCAGAGAATCCTATCTCAGTACTCTTAAATGTCATTAATTAATATTCAATAATTAATCTAAATTTATACAATAATTTTAATGTACGATTATTATTTTCTACGGTAAATATATTTCTTCTCAATTTATTAGTCGATGAAAAAATGTAATATATTATATTCTTTCAAACAATTATACTTTAATTTATAAGACGATGAAAGCTAATATTCATTTTTTGATTAATAAATCATAAATAAGGAATTTATTAACCGAAAAATCAATTAGTTTTGATTTTTTTTATCGTCTTACAAATTAAAATATAACGTACATATATTGTATATGTATGTTTAATATTTGCAATAAATTCTTATTTTACTATTCCAGCAAACAAACTCACGTTATTTATCATTATTTTAATATATTTTTAGCGTCTTTAATGTCAAAATAACGTCAAAATAATGATAAATAATCTCAATTTGTTTGTTGATATGTTGTGTAAAGAAATGAAAAAGTGATATGTAATATACTCGTGCATTCAAAGGTCAGAGTTTGCAGAGTTATCGTTGTGTTGTAATATTCAATGCTAATGTCTTTAATAACGTTAGCAATGAATTACGACACGGCAATAACCTGCAAACCTTTTAGCACTTCTGAAGAAAATACCCATGAAAGCACATTATACATGCATATATTTATACATCTTACTTGAACAAGCAGCATTTCACCGACGTAACAATAAATATACAAGTGAACTAGAATAAATCCTACGAAACTGATTAGAAAAATCAATTGGAAGGTCATTGATTCATTTTCTTCTTCCTTTATTAATATCTAAAATGTTTCTGATTTTTATTACTTACATTTTCATATTTTCTGAATTAATAATAATTGGAAAAATTTGTGCGCAGCAACGTGACACAAACAAACGTAATGTTAATAAAATGTTAATATTACATTTTTAATTGATTAGAAAGAAAATAAATGTGTAAACAATATTTAATATATAAAATGCTATTTTCCGAGCCACTCACCGTAAAAACCTGGAACCCTTGAAAGCATAGTTGAACAGTACAAAAAAGTATCTGTATTAGCATCATCATGTTGAAGGAATCCTCGAGTGTTTTTGCAAACCTTGACACATATGATTAGTATTTTCATTTTTATCGATTTATATTGAATTATGACACGCTAAATATATTTTGCAAATTACGTTTGCATAAACATTTCTTGTTATATAGATTATATTACATTAAACAAAATATTATAAATCTTTTATTAGCAAATGTTCTTTATTCGAACACAATGACATAGCAGATCATTATTTTTTAAGTTGAATTTCATCATATTGAATTGATTTTAAAAAATTGAACTTGAAAATTTATTATGTGTATTTTATATAATTATGTAAACGGAGAAAAAAAATTTGAAAAAATTTATTAATGATTTAAATAATTGACTTATTAGAGCAGCAAAATAAAACGGACGTAAAATTTAGACAATGATATCTGCTAACATGTTAATAATCATCGTGACTAGCAAGACAATTCTTGCATTGTGAAACCAGACGATGGATGCCCTGTTCATAAAACTCTTAGAATTGTCCGTTACCAACTCGTCCTTACAAACAGTCTTCTACACTGTTACATCCAACGGAAATTTCCTGCTTTTCAGATTTTTCTTCGAGTCTCCAGAGATGTGGAAATCGCATGGCGATAAGTTTGGGTTGTAACCCGGGTACTTCAGTATTTCTCACCGGCAACTGTAATCCCTATGCGATTTCCACATCTTTGGAGACCTGTATCCTGAGTCTTTAATTTTTAACGGCGGTGTCGGTCTTTATATTGCCATTGCGCAGATATTATACATAGTGAAAAAGCTGTGCAACAACAACATAATGATACCGAACTGTCATTAGAAGTTTACAAAATCGAGCACTGATGAAGAAATTTCCGTCGGATGGATCGAGACTGTCTGTTTCGATCGTATAAGGAATTTCACAAGCCTCGTCTAATTTCACAATTGTTAACACATTACTTCATTTCAATATCTGAATTTTTTATCCACTACATTTTATTTGACTGTCCTAATAATTTTAATATTAAACAATTATCTACTGTGCCGTGATATAAAAAAATGTATTTTTATACATAAACTTATTTCATACGAGATAATTCTGCGTTCTTTAGCATAAAATGCATAAAAGTTTTTCTTTCCATGAATCATACAAACCAGTTTAAATGTTCATGTCTCATTACAATTTGTCTCAGTTCACTCTTGAATTCTTGAGACGTTTTTACTCCGTTCGGATCGTTAACGAGATTTTTGAGCCTCTCACGCAAATTTTCGAATTGGCCGCAGACGTGGAGTATTAGCATGGAAATGAAACTGTCGCTACCAGTATAAGAAACCGTTGCGCTATAAGCAGATAGCATTTGACATACGCAAATCAGTTCAAAAATCGGACTTCTAGTAATATCGAAAGGAAAATAAGCCGTATAAAGCATGGGACGAGCCGGATCACTAGATGAAAATCTGATGATCGTCGAGATCCTTAGAACGATATAAATGGTTACCATGGTCTGTGTTAGTATTGTGCACCATATCGATATCTTTCTTACAAGTTTGGCATTTTTCAGCATAATTGTTCTTTCTTCAAACGTTTTTGGCGTATGCCAATCTTGGTAAAAGAAGTTGACCAACAGTTTCAAAACTTTAAATAAATATTGCCTTTTTGTATTTTTTAATGAACATTTTTAAACAGATTTATTTTATAATTTTATCACTACTCAAACAGTACAACAAGTTATTATGATATCAAAATGACCATTAAAAATCATTTTTCAATCATTTCCGATTTATTTTAATATCATTTTGACGTTATCATGATTTGTTTTGCTTGGATAGATATTACGCTGACAATTTAGCATTTTGTCAAATTATATTTTTATTAAACATAATAACCGCGCGAAATGCCGAAACGAAATTGTTGTATGAAACGATTACAAAAGATAATTATGAATATATAGATAAGAGAAAAATAATAATATATCATTTGTTACTGTCATTATGTCGCTGTTTCATAAACATATTAAATTAGATGTAATTGTTAAAGCTGATTAGTATTCATAAAAATTAAAATATTAAAGTTATAAAAGATAATTCTATTGTTCAAAAAGTTAATTTTCTTGCTATTTCTTTGTTCTTTATACCTTTTCTTTTACGTTCTTTGTTCTTCGTACCTTTCCTTTTACGCCAGATGGTGATTGCTTTCATGAAAGAATTCGCAACTGGAATATTAGCGGTCGCCAGGTTTTCCGTCATCATATCCGCGTTACCCCAAATGAATACCAAATTTGCCGATTGCGGTATACACATAAAGCCTAGCATGAAGAAACTGGCTATCATAAAGCGACATCGAGAGAGTCCGCTGTTTTGTTTAGGATTTTGTAACGGATCAGGCCAGATGCCGACGAGGCTCAAATTGAATCGATTCCATCCGATCGCGAAATTCAAGTCTATACAGATCAAATTTTGCTTCAAAAATCAACGAAGGAAGAAATTCGATCATTATTCGATACTGTCAATCTTAATTGATAGTATATATCGGGAAGACATCGACACGATTTATAAAATAATTTTGCTTCCAAAATATACAATTACAAAAAAGGATATATTCCAAGCAGAACGTAAAGGCATCATGACATCAAAATGGCGTCAAAATGGTTCTAAAATGATTATTAAAAGTCACTTTTCGATCAGTCACGATTCATCTTAACGTCAAAATGATGTTATCGCGATCTACTTGTTCTACTTGGAATATTTCTTAATTATTTTAAACACTCAGTAATTAGCAGCGCACCATATTTCACAAATATACGTATAACAAGTTTTTTAAACGGTTTTGTATTCTCTTCTCTAATTCTCTTGTGAATTTAGATAGAAAGATATCTAGATAACAGTTTTATTATCTACAATTCACGCGAGCACATGTACATCTCTATCCACTCATACCTCGATCAGCATCCATCGATACTTATACGGATGTCAACGATGCAACGACTGAAACATTTTTATGATCGACTTTTTTCTATCCCTTCCCTAAAGATCACGCATGCTCCGATGCAGAAAGTGATCTACCCTCCGTAAAAGACCCTAAAGTCAAGCCAGAGTAAGTTGCTACTTCGTATTGAACACTTAACGATACTTGCGAATCGATTTAAATAAAAATTTATTGCAGTTGGTTGACAAAATATGTGAGTTTTAGTTATATAGGTATTGCTAATGTGTTCGATGATCAAGAATAATTATTTAATTGTTTAATAGAAGTATGTATTATTGTAATATTATAAAATTAATAATTTTTGTCTTTTAAATGAAGGAAGTAAATAGTTCGACAATTAATAGTCGAATAATAGTTTGACATGTTGCGCAAAAATGTGTATTTTTTCAATTCGAAAAGTGTTGCAGGCAGTGCATATAAACCTGTTCATTTCGTTATAAAAAAATTGATGTCATAGTGACGAAATTGATTCGTTATTATCTCTTTAGTATCATTTTCTTTAATCTTTTACTGCTAACAATGCCGATAAGTATCCCATTGATGTTTTCAGAACCTAAACAGAATATAAAATACAGATAAAATAAATGATTTTATTTAATTACGATGTATGCTGTAAACGTATGTAATATATGAAATATATAAAAATGTATAATATAAAAATAAAACAGAATAATAAAAAATAATTTAATTTGATTTAATAATAATAGAAAGGAGTGTTTCTATAGAACACACACAAATTAATATAGGCAAGTACAAAAAAAAATATATTTTCTTCTTCTAAATATATCTTACTGTTCCGAACATTTCTAACGAAAATATTCCGAATTTTCCAATCGTCAGTCTAAGGGGAATCCTAGATCGATATACAATGAACATTAAGTCTTTTGCGTCTTTCGGTGGTATGTCATACCACTTGCATTCATATACGCCGTATGTCATTTTGGTGCTCTGAAAATCACAAAGTTTCACACGGGTTTTTTTTTCGTACAGTGAATTGATCATGAATGTTTTAAGAACTTTTTCATTTTTCATTACGAACAGTTTCATACAATTAAATTCAAAAACTTTCACAGTATATAAAATTTTTACTTTATTTAAAAAGTGAAAGTAAATTTTTGCCTTTTATGTAGTGTATATTTGATAATTTATTAATTCTCCCGAACACACGATTCGGTCGCATTAATTCACCTAATTATCTCACCTCCGTCATCAGTCTTTCAGCTGAGTAGCAGTATGCATACATATTTGTCAATAGAACAACAAAGTAAAATAATAGAAAAGTCATTTTAATAACAGGCACTTTCATATTATCTGTTATTATCTGGAAATATTACATTTTAATTGTTGTATGTAATAAAGCAATGCAAATCTAATATAATATATTGTGTTGTGAACACAATATATTATGTTATATAATAAAATATTATTTCCAGCAAAAATAGGGAATACAACAATTATATAACGTTATGTAATAGTTGTATAATTATATAGCAATTACACAGTCTTCCAAAATTTAAAATATTATAGTAACAAAATTCCTGGAAATTTTAGTAAAAATATTATTAAAAAATTTTTATTTTAAACAATAATTTTTGAGATAATAACAGTTTAGATATGGCTTTAGACGGTCACCTATTTAAGGGTGTTCTTAAGTTGCGTGTGCGGTAGTTTAATGAGCGCTAATGAATGCTAATTTCAGCACGCTCACTAATACTCATAGGTGACTATGTAATCTATGTAATCTAATTGTGGCTGTATTTAAACCGTTATATCTCAGAAATTATTGCTTAAAATAAAAATTTATAAATAACTTCTTTATTTGATTTTTCGAAAATTTTCTTGCTGCAATATTTTGAGTCATAAATTTTGAGACATCCTGTATATAATTACATAAATATTGTATTCTGCATTTGTAGGGATTAATGAATTTAATTTACATTTAGTTCTTTGATTTTGTTTTCGAAAAAACGCAAGAAGAAACATATATATATGTATAAGTGATCTTACTTACTGTGAAAACTTGAAAAGTTATGACACATATCTGAAAAGTAGCAGCTAACACATGCATAAATAACACTGGGCTGTAGCAGCCGTCGATGATCTTCGCATTCCTTGAAAATTTGTACTCACTTATTAATGTTAACGATTTATAACTTGGATCTCAATGTATACAAATCTTTAAAAAGATTTAACTTGATTTTTTTTATTATTATTTATATGTTGAATTTATATCTTGAATCTATCCTAATTTATAATTTAATGTAATATTTTTTATTGTTTATCATTGTTATAATCATTTATTATTTTTTAAATCGATTTTGTTTATTTTTAAATCTAATAGTCCAATTTTTTTCTTGTTAGTCCTTAAAAGCAGAATATATTTTCAAAAAAAGATTGATTAATAAATCTTTTTATTAATATCTTGTGAATATTTTTCTTGTATAATATGAGAGCGATAAGTGTTAGACATTATTTTTAAATTTTTTTTCTCAAAAATGATCTCTTATTAAGGAATGATTATAAATTCGTAATATTAAATAATGGAAATATCATGCGCGCGCTGGATATTTTTTGACGTACCTGATGAGATGATTATGTCGTACAGCGATTGCAGCTAAACCTTCTCTAAATCTCGAGGAAGATATAGATTTGCTGATTAATTCATTGATCAGATTGTTCAACGTTGTCCGTAGATTTATCAGTTGCGCGCACACTTGTAGTACGAGCATCGAAACAAAGCTGTCAATGGTGTAATTAGCGAGAATTGAATATGCTCCTCCAGATAGTTGAATAAAATAGGTGATTTCGTAGAATGGACTGCTTTGAAGATTTCCTAATCGATAGACGAGGTTCCGTTGAGGCTGGTTTATAGTTTTAAAGAATTTCAGTAAATGCAAAGAAAGGTAAAATGTAATCAAGCACGTCGCGGACAAACAACATCTAAAGGATAAACTTCTGCCACGTCTTGAAATCTTTAACATAGTATTTCGTTCCCAATCACTCGTAGAAGTTATCCAATCGGTCATGATAGATGCCATCAGCGGCCGAAGTGCTTCTAAATTAATACAATATATTAATATAAGTATAAATTACAGATGCAAGCATTTCTTTATACGAAGATTATCGAACAGTCCGAGCATTTTGTGCTTAAATAAGAATAATTCAACATTTATCATAAACGATAAAAATAAATCCATCTGATATTTATAACAATATACAATATATTTGTAAAAAATAAACTTACTTTCGCCATGATACCAGGTAACAATCAATTTGCTCACTCCCATTAAGCTAAAAGTCGCCGAGACAAAATTTTCCAGTATCCGAGACAAGTTACCCCAAGCACGAAGCACATTCATTATCTGAGGACCTGATACGTAAAAGCTCACAGTACACGTAACAATAATGAATCTTATACTTGGCCGGCGAAATTCACTTAAAGGGATATGTGGATCGGGCCATATGCCAAATATCCATAACCATTGGCGAGTCAGGGTAAACACGTAATTCAAATCTAATAAATAAAATTTTAAAAGAAATATCATTGCTTAACTTTAAATTAGATATCGATTTGTTACAATATTTTCTAACATTTTTTTCACTACAAGTAATTATTCTTATTAGTGAATTTAGAAGCTATTTAAATTTTTATATTTTCCGTAATTGTAGCGTAGGAGAATACACTTTTATATTATTACAACTTCTTTTATATTATTTATATTACTTTTTATAGAATTTGTCATATCTATAGATTTTAGCAGACACCATTCTATTGCACATAATAACACATATTAAATAATAAAATAGCAGTAAATAATAAAATAAATAATATTGTAAGTGATTTAATTATAGTGACTAATGTAAAGTGATTCTATTAAAACAAAATTAAAATTTTTTAATAATGTTTTTTTAACATTACACTATTTTTATGTGCACAGTTATATTTGCTTCATAAATTTATCTTTACAAGATCGCTTTGCACAAAATTTTATATTATTATTACAATAAATAGTTGCTGCTTTTATTACATTTCGATTTTTAAAGAGTTACCTCTTTTCTTTGTTATACATACTAGAGAGAAATGGATGATTTATGCACAGCTAATTGTTTATTATATGATTCAAAATCACTGTAATTCTACATGTCGAAAACAAATCAGCATATAAAATTTTATTTCTCCGTTCACGCAAACATTCGTGGAATATAAAATTTTATGGAAAATCTGTAGACTTTGTGAAGAATTTATGATGCTTTTTTGCGAATTTTTGCAATAAAGTATTACAATCATAAATCAAATATTTCTTTTCTTTAATAAATAATTATTTGTTCCAAAAATATTAATATTAATATTTACTTTTTTACTAAATTTGTAAATAAATATTTAATACATAATTAAATACGTAATTAAATAACTTATAGAATACAGTTACCTTAAAAAAAGAAATATTGTTTTGTGAAATAAAAACAAAAAATAAAGTATATGATAAACTAGCATAACTAGAAGAAAATGAAGAAAATGAAGAAAACTAACTATAAATATAATTATCGATGTATATAATAATATTCTATATGAAAGAAGTTACATGGTTATATACTATAAGCTTTTCTTTAATTTCACACAAACATAACATAATTCAGTAACTTAACAAAAATTAACTTTTTTAGAAGATTCATAAAATTCAAATCAAAGTAAAGTTTTTATTAATACATATGATAAAAAAATTTGATTTTTATATATTACATTATATCATAAGTATTTTATATGATGTAATTCTGCTTTTAATAGAATATCGCGATGCAAACATTTTTGCCTTTTTTGAAAACATTCTACCTTTGTTAACATTCATTGATGTTCACGGCACAAAAATTATCGTTTGACTGAATCGCTCTTCACGATTATACCAAACCATGATTTTGCGCTTGCTCAGTATACAAAGGATTCAACCGCTACCATCTGTGAGTACTTC